CCAATCTGAATGGCATCCAGTCCAGCAAGCTGGAGGATGCACTGCCACAGTCCTCTCCATCATGGAGCTGGTTCCACTGATGGCCCAGCTCTGGGGACACATGCACCGGTGGACAGCCAGCCTGGCAACAGTGTGAGCTGCTTTTGCAACACGGCAGTAGCATGTCTACTTTTGACACCTCGTCAAAGGCAGAGACAGCTCCAGAGTTTATTTCCGGCTTGTCCTTCAGTGTCTGACCTGAAAAATCACAGCGCTGGAGAGCTCCCTTCGCCCATATCCCAAAATCCACTTAGAGGGGCCAGCACACAGGACCCTGGCCTAGGCATGGGTCAAGAGCATGTGGGAGAATATCTATCCCTGAGTCAGAAAAACACAGCTCCCACTGTCTGCCTCCCAGCTTGGTTTCTTAGAAATATATCACTTTTTTTCTGGGCTTGTCAGACCAGATTTTGAGAGCATTTAAAACCTGACCCCTGAGGGAGCCTCTAAAATGCTTCTTGTCTTCTGATTGGCCAGGCTTTTAACACAGACTCCACTTCCCAACCCATGGGCACTGGTCGTGGTCAGGTGGTGGGGAAGAGGAAGAAGGGAGGAAAGGGGTGCAGGGGTGATTGTGAGGAGGACAGGAGTAGGGAAGACAATTAACAGTCACATTTCCTCAAAGCGCCTCCTCTGCTCTCTCAGCATCCATGGTCAGACTGTCACTCTCCAGCACAGCCAGAAAATCTGTAGTTTTTCTTACTATTCTGATGATGCAAATGACAACACTTCCCTCTGCCTATACAATCTATTGACGTCTGATCCAAGGTGTCATTGGTAGGGAAAAGATAAAAATTTCAGCTGAGAAATGACCACTGGGTGTGAAAATAACCAGTTTGCTCCAGAATGCTATGGAAGGCTTTCGGAACACTATGGATTTGGCGTGTTCAGAGAAGAGGGTTGGGGGGTGGGGGGCGGGGTGGAACTTCTGGATAGCCACATGCTGACTTTAATGGGTCACCTACACATGAGTCGTTCTTTTCTTTTAGAGTCTGAATTGGATAAGATCCCCTGAATAATAAAGCTATGCTCAACATAATGTATTCTTCCTTTGATGATTTAGAGGCACTTTTAGGATCTTAAGGGGCCTGTTAACATCATGGCAGAGCATGTCAGTTATCCCTGTACCTCAAAGGTGTGGAAACACTGCTTATATGAGAACGGGTAACAGAACTCACAGAAAGAGATGGTGGCAAAATCCCTACTTACCGATCCAGGTTGCAAGAAATACCTCCTCAAGTCATCTATTCCCAACCTCCCAGTTATGGTCCAATTGTTAAACACCTCTAAATTCCAATGAAATAAAGAAATATGAGCATTCCTTTGGAACTCGCTGTTATAAAATTTGGATATGTAAGTCACCAAAATGCAACAAGACTGCGAATCGAGTTGTTAAGTCTCACAGATATTTAAGTATCTGGCATCCAATCACTTGTTTTATTTTGGAGGAGCCGTACTAGACTGTATTAGAAACTAGTTGTTTCATCTTTAATTGTGCACATTTCTGAATTACTAATGCAAACATTGCTTCTGTGCACTGGGTACTTAAATATATTTGCTGATGTTATCATTAGGGAGGAGAAGCAAACAACTAAAGATGGGTCCTTTAAACTCTCATTTCATTGTTGCTTTTACCCTGGCCCCAAAATGTTTTTTTCTAGGCTGAAATTTTTTACACTTGCCTCCAATCCAAAGACTGAAAAGCAGAACAATGTGATGAAGAGCATAATGATTCGAAATGAAAAGATCCAATTCATGCCCTAACTGACTGACTGTATGAACTCAGTCCCACAAACACAACCCACTGTCACCTTAAGTGAGTTACTTAACTGGCCTGAACCTGTGCTTTCATCTGTAAAGGGATACAACAGTATTATCTTCTGTTTGTCAATTCAATGCAGTGCAAGTAGTGTTGACATATGTACTATACTTGGGTTCATAGTAGATGTTCAACAAAATAATTAGTATCTGTAATCCTGGCCAACTCTGCTGGCCACGGGTGATGAAGTTCTGTAAGCTTCTGACACCAACCAGGACTGGGTTCCTTTGAGTGACCAGGAAAGAGGGAAATCTGAGCATCTGGGGAAATGAGCACGAGTTTCTCCTTCATTGCTCCAATTTCTGTCCTCATCTCTTCTGTTTGAAGGCAAAAGGGAACAGCTGAATGAAGGCAATAGTCGAAAGGCAGGATGAGAAAACACTATTTTTGCTTCTATGAATCAGGACTGGCGGAAAGATTGCCCACCTTCTAAGACACCTCCCTTTTTCTGAAGTGCCTTCAGGTTTCACATCATCTGTAGCATGATCTGAAAAAGCTGCTCCAAAGTTCCCTTGGCTCTAACGATTTACTGCTCAAAGATAAATGAAAATTCAAACCTTTAGCTTCCATCTGAATGTGTGTGTGTTCATTAAAAAAATATGGAGCCCTAGCTAGTTTGGCTCAGTGGATAGAGTGTTGGCCTGCAGACTGAAGAGTCCTGGGTTCGATTCTGATCAAGGCCACATGCCTGGGTTGTGGGCTCGGTCCCTAGTAGTGGGCATGCAGGAGGCAGCCGATCAATGATTCTCTCTCATCACTGATGTTTCTATCTCTCTCTCCCTCACCCTTCCTCTCTGAAATATCTAGACTAATAAAAGCCTAGGTGGTCCTCGTGCCCTCATGCAACGCCCTCACATCATCACAAGATGGCCAACACAAGATGGCCGCCACAAGTTGGCTGCCCTCACATCGCCACAAGATGGGAAGTTGTGGGTGATCAGGCTGGCAGGGGAGGGCAGTTGGGGGCAACCAGGCCAGCAAGGGAGGGCAATTATGGGGGACCAGGCCAGCAGGGGAGGGCAGTTGGGGGTGACCAGGCTGGCAGGGGAGTACAGTTGGGGGCAAGGGGTCGGCAGGGGAGGGCAGTTGGGGGAGATTAGGCCAGCAGGGGAGGGAAGTGCGGGGCAACCAGGCTGGCAGGGGAGTGCAGTTGGGGGCAATGGGTCGGCAGGGGAGGGCAGTTGGGGGAGATTAGGCCAGCAGGGGAGGGAAGTGCGGGGCAACCAGGCTGGCAGGGGAGTGCAGTTGGGGGCAATGGGTCGGCAGGGGAGGGCAGTTGGGAGCGATCAGGCCAGCAGGGGAGCCGTTGGGTGTCAATCAGGCTGGCAGGCAGAAGCAGTTAGGGGCAATCAGGCAGCAGGCAGGCAAGTGGTTAGGAGCCAGCAGTTCCAGATTGTGAGAGGGATGTCTGACTGACAGTTTAGGCCCAATGGGATAGGGCCTAAACCGTCAGTTGGACATCCCCCAAGGGGTCCCAGATTGGAGAGGTACAGGCCAGGCGGAGGGACCCCCCCCCCCCCGCATGAATTTCATGCACCGAGTCTCGTGTGTGTGTGTGTGTGTGTGTGTGTGTATGTGTGTTTATATATATATATATTAGAGAGGGAGCAGAGATAAAGAGAAACACATATTAGAACAGTTCTTGTAGAAGGCCCAGAAATTGCTTAAGAGTTCATAAACCTTTAATGCAGTAGTTCTCAACCTTCTGGCCCTTTAAATACAGTTCCTCATGTTGTGACCCAACCAAAAACTTATTTTCGTTGCTACTTCATAACTGTAATGTTGCTACTGTTATGAATTATAATGTGAATATCTGATATTCACACAGGATGGTCTTAGGCGACCCCTGTGAAAGGGTCGTTCGACCGCCAAAGGGGTCGCGACCCACAGGTTGAGAACCGCTGCTTTAATGTTACACTAGCAAAAGCTTGCAGGAACCTTCTGCCCTATGGAGTACGCAGGATGGCCTTCCTGTGGTTCTAGTGTTAACATGATAGCTTTATATAGAACCTCACCAAAATTCTCTTTCACTTCCTCTCAGTCTTCTTCTGTCCCTACTGTAGTAACATTAAGCAAAAAATTTTAGATTTATCACTATATTGTCTCTGCCACAAATCGAGGATACACATGGTCATTCATTCATTCACCAACTATTGACACACAATGCAGTGAAACACCGTGATAGTGCATGGAACGATTCATTCATTCATTCATTCATATATGCAATAAACATTTGCACCAATGATGTGCTGAGGGGGGACGCTTGAGAAATAATCCTGCTTTCAAGAAGCATATAGTCCACTGAGGAGATAGATAAGGAGATGCACCATTT